GGGGAGGGGTAAAAACATTTATTTAAATCAATAAGATAATAATAATAATAAAATTGAACGAGAAATTCTGTCATTATGACAAACTTAAATAAAATAAATTGGCAACAAATTAACGTTTTAATAATTTTTTTTATATTAAAACTAGTTAAGAAGTAAATTATTACTTTTTTTTTTCTTTCAATTAATGTTTTATTACATTATTAATACCGTCTTTATACTTTTTTTCATTTTATTAAATCTTACTTAATTACACAAACAATAAAAAAAATAATAATAATAATAATAATAATAAGAAGAAGATAATATTCTTATAAAATAATAATAAACTTTCATTTCATTTTCATTTTTATTCCTTTTTTTTCTCTCTCTCTCTCTCTCTCTCAATATTAATTAATAATTTTTATTTATTTATTTATTTCCTTTTTCATACGACTTACATTTATTTTTAATAAATAAATTTTCATTTTCGGTTACGATAATTATTATTATTATTATTTACTTCTCATTTAAAATTTTATTATTAACGTTAAAATAAAAAAGTAATAATAATAATAACTTTTTATTACTAATCAGTCGATAGAAACAAAAAAAAAAAAAGAAAAAACTTCGACTTTTATTAATTAATACAATAATTGAGACGCGTCGTAACTGCATCCGACGCCATGATAGAAAACAACGTTGTAAAAGAAGGCGGTGATTGATGACGTCACAACAATATTTGCATTCGTCTCGTTTCCTCATTCTCTCAGGTTTTTTCTTCGCGTCGGAATTGTCAAAAACAACTGTTATTTTATACTAAAATATTATTCTGTTGATTTGACTTGGTAAACTGACTATATACAACACACAGAGTTCAAGGGGTTAAATTTTTAACGGATAAAAAAAAAAAATTATATGAATTCGATAAAATAATTATTCGACGTTATTTTTTTTTTTTTTTTTCGTATAAGTTAACAAATGAGTTTTTAATAGATTTTATTGTATGTGAGTGAATTCGATTCGAGTTAAAAAAGGAAACAAACAAACAGACAAACACATTTTTTTTTTTTTTAAAAAAAAAAAGGGAAACATGTCGTGATATTTAAATATTTTAAAACGAAAAAAAATATAAATTAAAGTTAATTAAACAATTAACCAATCAAAATAATTTTTTTATATTTTTTTTTATTTTGTTATTAGTTTAATTTTGTTTTCCGCTCCCATCGTGGATTTAATTTCTTTCGGCGATCTTACACGTTTCATTTAATGTTTGACAACCACTAATTTACTAAAAAAAAAACCCAAATCAAAATACCTGTCATTGATTTTTATTTTTTATTTTTTTCTGTACTAAAGAAAGAGTTTAACAAAAAAAAAAAAAATATTTTTTTGTTTTTTTGTAAGTTGAATGAATCATGCACGCAAAGTTTAAATAACTTTTTGCTTTATTATATATATAAAAAAAACATTATATAACAAAAACTACACATTAATGTCTAAATTATATATATGTGTGTGTGCGTACATATTTTTCAAAATAAAATTTATTATTATTATTATTATTAATAATTTTTTAGAAAGAACAAAAACGAAAGATTAAAATTTTTATTTGTTTATCGACAAAAAAAAATTTTTTTTTTTGACATTCAATAATTTTTAATAAAAGATTTTTCTTTTTTTTACCCTCTCGAAAATGAATTTTCTTTTTTTTTTTTTTGTATAACAACAGCGGCAGGAAAAAATAAAAAAAAGTTTTCCTCTCTCTCTCTCTCTCTCTCAAGCTAATTATTCCCCAATTTCAATTTTGAGTTTCGCTTTTTACAGCCGGAGAAATCATAGAATGACATGCTTCTTTGTTTTTAAGTAAACTTTGAATTAATTTATTTACTGTCATCGCTCCTTTATTTCTTTTCAACAAATTGGACTTGAATTGCTTTTAAGTCTCCTCATGGGGAGTGAGATAATAATAATAATAATAATAATAATAAGGGGGAGTTTAAAAATTTTGGTTCGAAAATTGTTAGAATCAATTTTTAATAATGTTTTTTAAATCTCTTTAATAATAATAATCATAATTTTTTTTTCCTTTTTGTTTTTTTTTTAAAGATCCTCCGAGGCTGGAAAAATCTCCACTTTTGGCAAACGGATACAATCATCCGCCTACGCATTTAAATCACATGCAATTCATGCAATTGAGTCATCCAGCAGCGGCTCATACGGCCATATTGTCTCCTGCTGGAATGCAACATCCTGGATTACAGAGACCTGATGGAAACATATTAAAAAATCAAATGCCCGGAATGGAAGCCATCGCAAGGTGAGACAAAATTATTATTATTATTATTATTTAATCACGTGATTCAATGAAAGAAAATTTAATAATGCGAAAATTTTTTTTTTATTTAGATCTGGAATTTGGGAAAATTGCAGAGCCGCATACGAAGATATTGTTAAACATTTGGAAAGGTAAGTTTTTTTTATTTATTTATTTTTCCTAATGAAATGAATAACTGGAAGAAAAAAAAATTAAAATAATAATAATAATAATAATAAAAACCATCAAAATGTGAAAAATGAAAATTTTTTGACAGCTGACTGGAGGAAAAAGAAAAAAATGAAAAGAAAAGAAAAGAAAAAAAAGATAAGAGCTTATTCTAACGGCTCATTACCAGATTTTCATGTTATTTTCACTTTTTTTTTATTTGGAAAAATTTCTGGAACAAAAAAAAGCAGGAAATAAAAAGTTTTTTTTTTTTTTTAACCTTCCAGAAAACATAATTCAATTTTTTCTCTTCTCACAAGTTTTATATATATATATACATATATATATATAAATAAATAAAAAATATTTTTCTTCATTTTAATTTTTCCTTTCATCTTTATAAATTATTTATTTACTAAGTTTCTTCTTCTTCTTACTTTTAATTTAATACGCGAAAAGGTGAAGCTTTTAGTTATTAAAAAAAAATTTTTTTTTTACTTCAACCCCTAAATGCTGCTGCTGCTGTTTCTGCTGCCGCTGCTTCTTAAAATTAAAAAAATTTTCTTTTCCTTTCCTTTTATTTGTTTTATAAAAAACAATATTTTCATTTTTTATTATCGTTAATAAATTTTTTGTTATTTAAAAATTTCCTCTCTCTCTCTCTCTTTCTCTCTCTTTTCTTTTCTTTTTATTAGATTTTCATTATTATTATCATTATCATCATCAAATGAAAAATAATAATGATAATAAAAATAAAATAAAATTATGGTAGGCGATTTTTTTCTTTTTTTTTTTTTTTTTGATTAGATGATTGTTTAATTTTGAATTTCCCGCGCCGAATAAAAAAAAATTAATTATTATTATTATCATCTTCGAATTAAAAATTCAATCGAACAATATTTTCTATTAAATAATAATAATAATAATAATAATAAATATTAAAATTAATTTTAATCATTTCGCGATCGATTTTTTTTAGTATTATAAGTCGTAAACTTTGTCGCGTATTAATAAATAATTAATATTATTATTATTATTATTATTATTATTATTGAATTTCGGTTGGAAGATGCCACACCTTTTTTAAATGATGGATTACTTATAAAGAAAAAAAAATAAATATTATTATTATTATTTTTTTTAATGGATAATGAAGATGTAGTCACTTTTTTTTTTTTTTTTTTTGGTTCAACGAATATGAAAACGTAACAAAAGTAATTATATATCATTTTTTTTTAGGCGCGCGTTAATTTATTTTTTAAAACGAACAAAAAAAAATAATCGTTCATAAATAAAAATCCGTACGTATATGCATATGAAAAGAAAAAAAAAAAAGAAAATCATTTTATATTATTATGTGACTTGCAATATTTAAAAATCGGTTCTCGAATTTCAAGAGGATCCCATTTTATATTTTTCTTCCCTTCTTTCAATGTTTTTTTTTTTTATTTTAAATTTTGCCAAATCATTCAAAAAAAAAAAAAACCCTCCCGTTATATCTTATGCACATACACACACACACACCCGAGTGTATTTTTTTACGTGTGTATATATATAGTGAAAAAAAAAGGGACTAAAAATGTGTGTGTGTGTGTGTGTAAAAAAAATTAAATTCAATTTTGATTCGAGGGTTAGGATATCCGTTATTTTAACAAAGGCCGCTGACGTGGATTTAAAACTGTAAAATTTACCGTCCTCGATTGAAATAATAATTTATTCGGCATCCCTCAACTGGAAACCCCGAAGACTTGACTTGCAAAAAGAAAACTGTCAACCGAGTGACAAATCGACTTCGGTCAGTAACTGTTTCTATCTCGTGTGTGCGTGCGTGTACGTGCGTGTGTGCGTGTGCTTGTACTCTCGCATTATTCGGCCTCGTTTTTTTTTTTTTACGAAAAGATTTTTCTTATTCGACGTTGGCTAAACGTGGATGCCATCGAGGTGTCACTCTCAGACTCCACTTCAAGTCAAAAAAAAATGAAAAACGAGGGATGGATTGAAATCCAATATATTTGTCGCGGGAGAAAGTTTTTTTTTTTTTTTACAACTTTCCTACCATTTATGACTTTCTTAGAAAGTGCGAAAGACCTTTTAATGTTGTTGTCGTCGTCGGGATGGGGGTGGTGGTGGTAGTGAGAAAAGGAAAGGAAAGGAAAGGAAAAGGGTCTTTAGTGAATAAAAAAAATATTATTTTCATCGTGGAAAATTTTTATAATTAAATTTGTTTTTTTTTTATTTTTTTTTTCGTAACTGTTTAATTATCGTTGTCGTCTGCACGATTTAAAAGTTTTTCTTTTTTTTTTTTATTTCCGGTAAAAAAAGAAAACCAAAAATTTATTTCAATTTGAGTTAAAAAAAAAAAAAAAAAAAGGAATCAAAGTGAGGAATTGAAAGGAGAATTCGATGAGACAATGATCAATGTGTACTGTCACGGTAAATAAGAGAGTAAAAGAATTTCCAGAGATTTAACTGGATAGTCTGGATAATTTGTCTAAAAAAAGGAAGGGTGGGGGAGGTTTAAATACGTAACACTATAAACAAACAAACACTTTCGACCTTTTTTTTATTTTTATTTTTTTTAAACAAATCACGTTCATTGTTTTTTAAATAAAAATAAAAATCAATTTTAATTGTTTTCAACGTCATTAATGCTCTTTAAATCCCCCTCCCTCCCCTTCCCGCGTCACAAAATAAAAATTTTTTATTTCTTTTCGTTTTAAAAAAAGATTTACGAAATTAAATTTGACAAGAATCTCGGGTGCGACCGAATAATAAATATAAACAAAACGATGACAGGAAATGTGAAATTTTTGTTAATTAGTTATTATTATTATTATTATCATTATCATGATTAACGTTTAATAACGCCTAAATTTTGTTTTTAAATTAATGTCACGGACGAAAAAATTTCTTCTTTTTTTTTTAAATTTAAAAAGAAAAAAAAGGAAGGCTTAATGAAGATGTTAATTTATACGCACACACACTCGCAGATATTTTAGGAGGGGAAGGGGGGAAAAAGATTTTTTTCGAAATGAAGAAAAACCGCGAATGACGAACGAACAAAAAAAAAAAGGGAAAATAAATTTGAATCCTCGGAAAAACCTTTTTTTGCCCCTTAATTTTCACAACAAATTTTTTATTAATTAATCAATGTCTAATTTTTTTGTTTCGACCTTTTAAAACCTTTTAAGCCATTTTTTTTTCGCTTTTTTTCGTTTTTTGTTTTTAAATAATAAAAAGAAAAACTAAAAAAACCGATCGAGAAAATGATTTTAAAAAAAAAAGGAAAATTTATTTAAATATAAAATGATAAATAAAAATCGTGAAGCAGGAAAAACGAAATGGACAGCCTTAGTAATTTGCATCTCTTGACTTTTTTTTTTTTTTATTGGGGGGCGGGGCGGGGAGTAAACGTGAATTGATGAGAAACAACGAGAGAGAGAGACAGAGGGGGGGAGGAGGAGGAAGGGAAAAAAGAGATGAGAAGAAAGAGAAAATTTGAAAAGATATAAATAAAGGGAGAAAGGAAAATGTTGTGATGGGTTTAGGGTGAATCTGTGTTGAGTTTTTATCTTTGTTTGACCAGGACGCATAAAGAACCTTATTTTGCATTTGCTCACCTTTTTTTTTTTTTTACTAATTTTTCTTTTCTTTTTTTTTCTCTAACATTTAAATATTTATTTATTTACAAACAAACACACTCACACGCATTTATAAAAAAAGAGAAAGAGAGAGAAAGAAAATTGTTTTGGATTGTTTTTGTTTTCACAAACATAATAAACAATTTTTTTATAACACGACAAACATTTTGTTTTTTTGAGGTGAAATTTAATTCAAATTCGATCTATATATCCTGGACAATTAATTGACGGCTGGAAAAAAAAAGACATTCGCTGTGAAAATTCTATGAGCTAAAGAAAAATAAAAGTGAAAATTTTATATATTTTGCGTTTATTGCACGCAATATTTCTTTTTACTGTAGGAAAAAAAAGCAATAAATATTCTTATGTCTCTCTTTCTCTTTCTAATGTTGAAGTTTATTGTGCCACCCACACACACACACGCATTGTGCGGTGGTGGTGGTGATGTAGTTCATGAAATTGTTGTTGTATGTTGTTTTTGTTTGTTGTTTATCTTACAATGTATTACCTAGGAAAGGTGAAAATGAATGTAAGGTTTTTATTGTCTCTTGCACGCAGCATTCCCTTCCCCTCCCCTCCCCACCGCCCTTTTGTGTAATCTCAAGATTTTTTCTTTTTTCATTTTCCCTTCTTAATCTTATACCTTACAACCAGTGTGATATATTGTTGTATAATTGTCATGAAATATTAAAAAACATTTATTATATATATATGGAGTAGGGCAACAAACAAACAAACAAAAATTCATGATAATAAATCTTTTTATTTATTTATTTACAAATTTCATTTATCGATATTATTATTATTATTAATCATTTTGTATATTATTTGTAAATATATTTTTTTTTCTTCTCAATCTGTGTTTTGTTGAGATTTAATTATTGTTAAATCCAAGACGAAACGATAAAATTTAACTTTCTAAAATAGGAAAGAAAAAAAAAAGGTTTGAACAAACAACAAACATTTAAAGACAACATTGTTATATATCTAAAACGTGTAATATTAGGAAAAGGGAAGAAAAACGACAATAAAAAGCAAAATAAAATTGTTAAATAAAGATGGAAAATATTAACGCCGAAAGTATTTAAAACGCCACGTCCGAAATAATAATAATAATAATAATAATAATAATAATAGTTTCCTGTTTTATTGTTTTTTTTTTATTTGTGAGTGTGTTCGTTTGTGTGTGCGTACGTGCGCGCGCGGGGGTTCGGTAGAAAAAGAAAATTTTACTCTCTCTCTTTCTCTCTCTCTCTGTTTAATTCAATGCTATCGTTATTATTATTATTATTAAATTTTTTTTTTTTTTAAACCCAAGTTTTCTTGTATGAAATAAGAGACATTTTCTTTCTTAATAATAGTACAAATAAAAAAAAAAATTTTTAATGGGGCTGAAAACAGTAGGGTAGATGACCGATGTTGGAGAGATATAAAATTGCACGTATGATTTTACAAAAGAATAACAGTTTTAAGGGATGAAAAGTTTAAAGGGTGGAAAATAAAAAGAATTCAAAGAAAATTAATATTATTTTTCATTTGTTATACGGTTTTTTTTTTTTTTTTAGTTCCATGTGATAACTTTTACTCTTTTTTTTTTTTTTTTTTTTTTTAAATAAACTAAGATTTTTTTTTTTTTGTTTTCTACTTCCCCGATCAAAAAAAAAAAAAAAAAAGAAAAATTTTTCTTATGTTTGATGAATAAACGTAATAAAAAATATTTAATTTATATAAAAAAAAAAAAAAGTTTAATTAAAAACTTAGGAAAAAAAAAGGTTTTTGTATTGATTTTCATCCCTTTTTTTTCATCCCTTTTAATTTTAATTTTACCTTTTATGTATTTTTCCAATAATTAATTGTTTTTACAATGCAATTTTCATTTCAATGCCCTTCAGCTTTAATAATAATAATAATAATAATAATAATAATTTCATTTTTGAATTTTTTTTATCGAAGTAATTATTAAATAAATTTTTTTTTTTTTTTTTTTTTTTAATATTTCACGTAAATAAAAAAAACTAGACTTTGTTATCAGACTAGACTTTTATTAGATTTCTTCTTTTTTTTTTTTTTTTTTTTTAAAAAAGAAATTTTAGGGATAAATGGGAATCCATCCTAAGTAGTCGTCATCATTTTTCTTATTTCGAACGAATTTTAAAAAAACGATTTTTTTTTTTTTTTTTTTTATTCCCAAGATATTTGAAATTTGTTACCAACATAATAACATGATTGCCTCAGGTTTGCTTCTATTTCCGTATCCCATAACGTTTTCTACTTCCTTTTTCGATATAAAAAAAGAAAAACTATTTCATTGTGTTCTACGTGCGTGTGTGCGTGTGCGCTTAACGATTTTTTATACGATTCTACGATCGATGTAGATCATGTTTTTTATTTAAAAAAAAAAGTTTAACTTTTTCTATTATTAAATTGTTCATGGATCAATACTTAATTGTTTTATTTATATTATTATTATTATTATTAAAATTTTTTTCACTTTTATCCAAACAAAAAAAAATTGAATAAGCTAAAAATAAAAAAAGAAACAAGAAGACAATTCGAAAAAATATGAAATTTAACGTTGCAGCTGGAAATGTTTGTTAATGAGGAAATGCTTTTAGTATTATAGAAAGAAGCAATAATACATTATCTGGAGACATTTTTATGGAGTGAATATTTTTTTTGCCTTCTTACTTATTCCCTCTTCCTATTTATGTATATCATCCACCTCCTCCACCTCTACCTCCTCCTTTTTCGGTCTTGTTCTTTTCCTTTTTTGGTTTTTTTTTTTTTTTAATTTTTTGCGAGATTCTTTTTTTTAAAAAAGGGGTTTTTACTGTTTGACATTTGATGATGACACTCCTAAAATAAATTATTATTATTATTATTATTAATAAAATAATTACGTCATAATCGAATTAAAATATTTTTAATAAGTTAAAATCGATCGATCGATTGATTTATATTAAAAAAAAAATTAATAAAATTCGTTGAAAAAAAAAAAAAACTGGAATCAAAAATTTTAAAATATATATATAAAACGGTGAAGAAATTACTTTAAAAATTATTATTATTATTATTATTATTATTATTATTATTATTATTATTATTATTATTATTATTATTATTATTATTATTATTATTATTATTATTACATTTAAAATGAGAAAATAATTTAAGTGAATGAAAAAAAGAAAGTTGAGAAAATTTATTAAAAAGGTTTCGAGACTCAGATGTTTTTTTTTTTTTTTCCCCGGTTTCCCTAACGAATTATTTTTTTTTTTATTTACTTGTCATTCCTTATTATTATTATTATTATTATTATTTAATTATTAATTAATTTTTATTTTTTTATTTTTACCTCATTGAAATATGTATCAATATTAATATTAATAATAATAATTAATAATTTAATTAAACAAAAAGAGAAAAGAATAAATTTTTTATTAATAATAACTATTTTCACATTAAATTTAATATTTAATTAAAATTTAATTATGGTTTTTTGTTCTTTCTATTAAAATTCAATCAATTATTAAAATCTTTAACATTTTATTAACGGGGAAAAGAAGAAAATTTCTTATTATTTTAGTCCGTTCACTCACTTTTAGAGGGTTAAATTTTAACAACCCCTTTCCTTTAAATTTTTTTCCTTTTTGCTCAAGCGTAAAAAAAAAAAAGAAGAAAATTCGCAGTCGTTGTCTCCTCCTCTTCCTCGCTTGAATTTAAAAAAAAAAGAAATTTATACTCGATAATTATTATTATTATTATTGTATATTTATAAATATATATATTTTTTTTTTTAGGTTACGGGAAGAAAGGGGAGATACGGAAAGAGCTTTAGCTTTGGACCAAAAAGTTCGAGAGTTAAATTCACAAAACGGTGAGAAACCCCCTCTCCCGCCCCGCCTTTTTTTTTATCATTATATAATAAGAACCGTTTAAGGAAAATGTTTATTGATAATAATAATTGATCGTGTTTAGGTTCACCCAACAATCCCAGTCCAGTATTAAATTTATCTAAAAGTGGAGGAGGTTCACACGGAGAAGCCTCGGGTAGCGAGGCCGGACAATCTGGTCCAGAGGATGAAGAAGAAGATGATAATTTGACTGAAGTCGACGAAGATGATGATAAAGATCCAGGTAACAAAATAATTTAATTTTTTTTTTTTAAATATTTTTAAAAAAACCGAATGTCTCTCACGTCCTTTTTGTTTTTGTTTTTTTTTTTTTTTAGAACTTTCAGATGTCGAACGACCCGAGTTACCAGCTTCTGGTTCGCCAAGAAGCGAATGTCAAGCTTTAAATTATTCTACATTAAGTTCAGGTACAGGTACGGTCAATCCTTCTGTGGGTGATTCAAATTTAAATTCAACAGAAACACTTTTGAGAAACATCCAGGGACTTTTAAAAGTTGCTGCCGATAATGCGAGACAACAGGAACGTCAGATTAATTACGAAAAGGGTAAGTTTTTCTTTTATTTATTTATTTAATAATATCTATTAATTTTTCTATTATAACCATAAAACAAAATCAATTATTAATTAGGAATAATAATAATAATAATCATTTTTATTGAAAACTATTTAATAATTTTTTTTTTATTCTAATAAATTTATATATATTTGTGCGTGTGTTGAATTTTTATCTCATAGCCAATGGCAAGGTAAATGTTTAGTTATTGACTTTTCCTCTTTTTTTTTTTTTTATCGCAAACATTATTTGCTTATTTCCCTACCTCCTCATCTCCCCACCTCCCCCTCCTAATCTTCTGCTCTCCTACATTTACTAATTTCAAATATTTCAACAAGTTTGTGTTTGACTCAAAATGGATTTTGATAACATAAGATATAAGTCACACCTGTGATTTTTCCAATATTTATCTTTTTTTTTTTTTTTTTTTTTATTAATTATTTTAAAAGCAGGAATGATGGGGAAAGGTAAGGGGAGAGGGGAGGAGGGGGATAAGGAAGAATGAATACAAAGGGGACTCGTAATATGTATATATATAAAAAGTTTCAATGATTGAATCATGAAAAAATAATAAAAATTTTTCTTAATTTTTCATTTATTAATCCATTTAAAACTTTTCTTTCTCTTTTTTTTTGATCGATTTTTATTTGCGTTGAGGAAAAGAAAAGGAAAAAAAAGAAGTAATAATAATAATAATAATTTTTTTTTTAATGTCGATGAATGAAAATTAAGTAAAGTAAAAGAAGAAGGAAAAAAAGGAAAAAAAAAAATTTTTTTTTTTAAATTTAAAATTATGATGCAATTACCATAAGTAGAATTTACTTTTTTTTTATAAAAAGAGTGTGATTCAAATATTCTCTTCCCGTAATTAAAATATTTATTTAATTCGGTTTGAGGGTCTCAACCCCCCCCCCCTCGTTTTTATAATTACTAGTAATTCTCGTTTTTCTCTTAATTATTATTATTATTATTATTTCTTCCTTTTTTTTTACTTTTTTAACTGGAATCGTGATCAAAATATTATTCATATTTAATATCAAAAGAAAAATTAAAAAATTTTTTTTTTAGAAAAATATCAGGTACGTTGTTTTTGACTGTTGTTGTTGTTGTTGTTGTGAGGCGTATACAATAATTTATTTTTAAAAAAAAAAAGAAAAAGAAGGATTAAAAGAGGGAAACGATGACGAAAAGGGTTCAAAATATCAAAAAAAGAAAAGGGGGAAAAAGTTTCAAAAAATTTTTATAAAAACATTTGATTATTATTATTATTATTTAATATTACGGTTCAATATATTATATTATATATTTATATATACATATTTAAAATAGAAAATAAAAGATTAAAACAGGAAAAAAAATGTTTTTTTTTTTTTTTTTAGTTAAAGAATAAAGAAAAGTGTAATTAAAACACAAAGATTCATCATTTTATTAAAGGGGGGAGGGAGGAAGGGAGGGAGAAAGGGGAGGAGGTTAGGGAGAGGGAAGGAGGAGGAAGGGGAGGTAACTTTTGCGGGCGTAAAAAAAATATTGTTAATTGCATTTAAAAGTGTATTAAAAAAGGAAAAACGAGT